ACATTTCTGTGCCCACAATGCAGTCATGGACCTACGACTGTTTGGCATCTCATGAAAAATACGGTCAGGCTATTGGGTTAAGGCACTACACTAGCAAAGACGACAAACGGTCATAAATTATTGCATCCAGTAAACTTTATAATACGACATGACTGTGCATATCCGACTATGCTTCTCTTTCCAAGCTAGAGTCAATCAAAATTCCTCCAGACCAACTTACGTGATTTTTATGAAGGCAGACTTCGTTTGAAGCCCCTTCTCTGCTGTTACTTGAGCATTAAATAAAGAATACTGCTTGAAGATTTAGCATAGTCCTGATCATAAGATCTGACGATGGGGATGACCGAAATCCTTTGTCGATGCACTCTTGGATGAAAGCCACTCCAAGACTTTTCCGTAAACTTCTGTTACATCTCATTTTCATTCATATTGGTCAGTGAACTTTTTAACCTCATCCAGCCATCGATCTGGAGGTGGTTCCTACGAGCCGTGAACTCTCTCTCTTGGCACCCTGTTTAACGTCTCTCTGATTCAATGATGGTCGATTTTTTGCAATGTACGATGTCCATTGTCACCTTAACTTTTACAATCGGACAATGACGTGCTCTTACACATTCATTCGTTTTTCCATCCGTTTTTGTATTTCCAAACATTTTTTAATGCTGCTTGCGTCGTTTGCAGTTTATGAGAAGGTTTCAGGTTTATAAGATCTACGTTTCGCACATGTGGCCTAACACCGAGAGCACACTTTGATCGAAGACGTTCGGCTTCAAGCTCAAGTACAATTTCCAGGATATGAACATTTCCCGTTCTCCAACAGTGTTCCGTATCATTTTTCTTTTTCTGCTGATTCTTCTGTTGAATTCCTATAGTCGGTTCTCGGTTGCACAGATGAGCTGTCCCAGAGAGACTTAATTTTGCACTTCGTCGAGCCTACGTCCGTCGTCTTCGGCAGCTACGCAGTCACGTGTCTGTTGAAAATGATCTGAGTCGTCTTCAGTTCATTTTCAGTCTCACTTTAATCCCGACGTTGTTCAGCTCTTTGATTTTTCGGAACTTTTTGAGAAGATCAGAATGTCATCTGCGAATCGCAAGTGGCCTAAGAAGTGGCCATTTATGTGTCCAAGCCATGAATTCCCGTTTTGCAATATTTTGAAAGCCTCTGAGGGCTGTTGTGAATTTCTTCGGTGATATTTTATCACCCTGTCAAATATCCTTTTTCATTTTTAACTTTGTTGTGCTTTTGTGAGACGTCAAGCTAGTGTCTTGGAGGTCATGGAAATGAAGACTCTATATCGCTCCTCGATCTGCTGCCTCCTCAAGGAATTCAGAACAGAATGGATGTACAGTAAGTCGGAAGCTCTCTCGCAATCGATAACCGCGGGGTAAAGGGAAAGCTGATGTTCAGCGCTTGTCTGAATTGTTTGTTGTACCATCTAGAAATGATCGTATAAAATGCACTTCTGGATGTTGCTTATTCCTTATTCCCGAACATCCACTTATTTAAGCCTGTCCATCAATATCGTCTTGATGATTTTGTAGATGATTGGTAGCAAACTTATAGGCCTGCAGTTATTCAAGTGCTTTTTGCCTCTTTTTGG